CTTCTGCTCGCTTTCTTATCCTCGCTTTCTTCTGCATTCCAAGGTATCTCGCACTAGATATACCAAGTCTAACCCACAAGTTTTGCTGCAGCTTCCGATTCAATTCAACGCGTCTCTTTGCTAGATTCAGTATTTGCGGAAGGAAAACTGATTATTGCATAAAACGGTGAGTTGTTCTGTTACACTGTACAGCCTTTATAATGTTCTCCAAGTTACTACCTAGTACCTATACAAACTACTAATTACAATAACTACCCTGAAAACAACAAAATTACATTTTGTACTATATACTCTATCACCCCCCCTCAAGCTGGAGCATGTATATCACACATGCCTAGCTTGCCTATCAATTCTACAAACCTATGTATCGGTAGTGATTTGGTTAGAACATCGGCAAGTTGGCTGTCAGTGGAGATGTAGAACAACTTGATGAGACGGGCAGCAATTTTCTCCCGGATGAGATGGCAATCGATCTCAATGTGTTTCGTGCGTTCATGCGCCACTGGGTTCTCTGCAATTCTAATGGCAGAAGTATTATCACAGTATAAAGCAAACGGATCAGCAAACTTAATATTGATATCATTGAACAAGTAACACAACCATTGTAATTCACAAGACACATCAGCCATTGCTCGATATTCTGCTTCTGCAGAAGATCGACTGATTGTAGTTTGTTTCTTGGAACGTCAGCTAATTAGTGATTTACCAAGAAAAATACAAAAACCAGTAGTTGACCTGCGAGTGTCAGGACAACCAGCCCAGTCTGAGTCTGAAAATGCAGACAAACTGATAGCTGAATCAGATGGGAAAATAGGCCCTTCCCAGGATTGTTCCTAATAAAACGAACTAATCTATTGGCAGCATTCATGTGCAAATCAGTAGGATTAGCTACAAACTGAGTGAGATGATGCACAGCATATTGAATGTCAGGTCGTGTAGTACATAAGTACAATAATCTACCAATCAACCTTTTATAAGGAGAGGGATCAGAAAGTGGTTCACCAGAAGTAGTAGAATATCGAATATTCGGTTCAGAAGGTGATTCTGCAACTTTCCCAGCTAGCAACACAACATCTGCAATAATATCTAAAGCGAACTTTCTTTGACACAAAGTTAGTCCTTTATAATTTCTAGCAATTTCTAATCCAAGGAAATAACGTAGGGGTCCTAAGTCTTTAATCTTGAAAGTAGCATCCAGTTTAGACTTAATGGACTTCTTTTCTAACAAATCATCTCCTGTTAATATCACATCATCAACATATACTAACAAAGCTAAAAACTTAGAATCAGATTGTTTTGTAAACAGAGTATGATCTGCCTTGGATTGAACAAATCCATTGGCTAATAAAAACTCAGTCAGTTTTGAATTCCACTATCTACTTGCTTGTTTTAGACCATAAAGTGATTTGGTTAAACGAGAAACAGGTCTTTTGATGTCAACAGGAGGAGTTAAACCTTGAGGGATTTTCATATAAACTTCTTCCATAAGATCCCCATGTAAAAATGCATTATTTACATCTAATTGCTCAATAGCCCAGCCCTTGACAGATGCTAATGCTAATAAAGCACGAACAATAGTCATTTTAGCAACAGGAGAAAAAGTTTCTGAGTAATCGATGCCCTTAGTTTGTGTATAACCTTTTGCTACTAATCGAGCCTTAAACCTCTCTACAGATCCATCAACCTTATATTTAATTCGATACACCCATTTGAAACCTATTGCTTTATGAGTAGAAGGCAGAGAAGTTACCTTCCAGGTATTAGTTGCTGCTAAGGCATCAAGTTCAGCTTGCATAGCTACCACCCAACGTGGATCCTTGATAGCCTCTTCATAGCAAGTGGGTTCAATTTCCTTAGTCACATTCATGACAAAGCTCTTGTAACCTGCAGCTAAATTGTCATAAGAAAGAACTTTGGAAAGAGGGTGAGTAGTATTAGGGGATGTAGCCACTGTTGAATGACAAACAAAGTCCTTGAGTCTAGCAGGAGGCTTTGTCTGTCTTTGTGGCCTTCCAGCAGGAGCTGGAGCATTACTATTGGGTATTTGCAAAGGAATATGTACAGGATTATCAACATGCAACATTCCAGAAGAAGGAACAGAAGGGGAAACACTAGAGGGGCTAGGTTCTATGAGAAGATCAAAGTTTGGGAGAGTTAACTCAGAATCAGAGGAAGGTGATGAATTTTTGTAAGGAAAGATATGTTCATGAAACACAACATCCCTAGATTCAATCTGACGGTTGGTATTTAAGTCAACTAGTTTAAACCCTTTGGTGCCAAAAGGATAACCTAGAAATACACATGGAGTTGCCCTTGGTTCAAGTTTTGGACGATTATGACTTAGAGTACTAGCATATGCTAGGCAACCGAAAACTCTAAGGTAAGCCAGATCAGGGGGAGTGCCCTGAAGAAGTTCTAAGGGAGATTTATTCTGAGTTAAAGGTGAAGGGATGCGATTGATGAGATGAGTAGCATGAAGAATAGCATGACCCCAAAATAGAATGGAAAGAGAAGCTTGGAATAGGAGAGCCCTAGCAATAGTGACTATATGCTGCAATTTCCTTTCTACCCGACCATTCTGTTGGGAAGTTTGGACACAAGAAGTTTGGTGTAAAATACCCTTTGAGTTATAGAAACTTGGAATATTAAATTCCTGAGCATTATCTATTCTTATCACTTTAACTGTCATGGCAAACTGAGTAGATACATAAGAACAAAAATTTATAAGAATTTCCCTAGCTTCAGACTTGTGTTTAAGAAGATAAACCCAAGTTACTCTAGTGTGATCATCCACAATAGCAAAGAAATATCGATGACCATCAATAGTTGGTTCCTTATAAGGCCCCCAAACATCACAATGAATCAAATCAAATGGGGATGCACTAACAGAATCACTAGATGCAAAAGGGAGTCGTTTCTGTTTTGCCAAAGGACAAACAGAACAATGTATATTGTCATTGACAGTAATAGGAAGAGAATTAGCATGCAAACCCTTTATTCTAGGAGTAGAAGCATGTCCCAAACGATAATGCCACAAATCAAACATAGAATGTGATGTATCATATGCTGCAGATAGCAACTGAGGGATAGCAAGACCAGGCAGAGAGGTGCCAGGTTGAAGGTAGTAAAGGCTAGAGACCTGTTCAGCTATACCAATCGTCTGCATAGTTGACAGCTCCTGGATAAAACAAGCATTATGAATGAATGTCATGGAGCAATTATGGTGCTTAGTTAACTTGCTTGCAGAAAGCAAATTAAACGAGAATGATGGAATTAACAAGACATTAGAAATGATGAGATGATCATTTAAATGCACTGTACCAATATGAGTCACTTTGGCCTTAGAACCATTAGGTAAGGTCACAAAGGAATTATGCACAACACTAAAAGATTGAAGCATAGACAAACAGCAAGTCACATGGTCAGTAGCCCCAGTGTCTACCACCCATGTTTGTTCAAGAGACCTAGAATTAGCTACGGAAAGAACAACCTTACCTGCAACCTCGTCATAGGCAGCTTGAGAGGCAGAAGAGGTGCTCTGTGCTGTAGCTGCATCCTCATAGAGAGCTGAGGTGGAATAACCAGCAGGCAGAGTGTTGGAAACCGCCATCAAGTTGATAGAGCCCAGATTAGTTGGCTGCTGAGGCTGGATGAGCGACAAAAATGCCTGATATTGAGCCCGAGAGAGAGTAAAACTGTCACCAGTATCCTCAGAAACATCCTCTGCAGTCTCCCCAGCACATACAGCGTTGATTGCCTTGCCACGAGCCTTGTTTCCAGGTGGATACCCGTTCTTCTTGAAGCACTTGTCAATCAAGTGACCAGCAAGTCCGCAGAAGGTGCAGACAGGCCTCTTCGATCCATCCTTAGGACCTCGTCGAGTCTGACCAGACGAAAAGGCACCGTGAGTAAAACCGCCTCGAACAGACGACGAAGGTGCATAGTTGCCTGCGAATGCCATGGGAGGCTGAACCGTCGGAACCAGAGAAGCTCCATGGCGAGACTCGCGTTCTTGTTGAACGATCTGAGCAAAGACGCGGTTGATCGGCGACAGTGGATCTAGCTGGAGGATCTGTGATCGAATCGGACCAAAAGAATCGCGAAGACCGCGAAGGAAATGAATAATCTGATCCGCCTCAATATATCCACAAAGCCTCGTGAATGCGCCGCATCGACATCGAGGAGTGCATGTGCATCAAGGCAACGAACGAAGAGCAAAGAACTCGTCCCAAAGAACCTTGAATCGAGTGTAGTACTCCGTGACAGTGAGATTACCCTGCTTGAAGCCATAGATCTCCTCATGGAGATCTGAGATCCGTACCAGATTCGCCTGACCGAAACGCTTCTGGAGATCGAGCCAGACTTCTCGCGCGGAATCAAGCCAAAGAATCGATTGAGCAATCGTCGGCTCCAGAGACCGATAGATCCAGCCCAAGACCATCAGATTCGCACGCTCCCAAGCTGGAAGCAGCGGATCGGCATCTCCAGGACGCGGAGCTTCACCATTGACGAACGAGACCTTGTTCTTTGCGAGGAGCGCCATCCTCATCGACCTCGCCCAGGACTGATAATTGCCTCCATGGAGAAGCGTCGACACAAGCACCAGAGCCGGATTCTTGTTCTGATTGAGGTAGTAAGGATGATTGGGATCGAGAGTAGTGGGAAGTGGAATCGCCATTGCAAAGCAGAGAAAAGAAGAAGAAAAGAAATCAAGAAACCCTAGTTTAGCTCTGATACCATGCTAGATTCAGTATTTGCGGAAGGAAAACTGATTATTGCATAAAACGGTGAGTTGTTCTGTTACACTGTACAACCTTTATAATGTTCTCCAAATTACTACCTAGTACCTATACAAACTACTAATTACAATAACTACCCTGAAAACAACAAAATTACATTTTGTACTATATACTCTATCACTCTTTGGTTTCGAAACTTGCATCTAAAGTCTTTCCCCGCAAAGACGCGAGCTTTTTCCTCCCACACCCTTTTCCCTTCCTCGGAAGATAGAAAAGCCAAACAAATTTTCCTCTTGTGAGATGGGTATCATCGTCATAATTGAAGAATGACCCACTTTTGCACTAAATTCTGAAATTGGCGGTTTTCATGTTGAGTTTCCGGTTAGGGGTTGTTTTGGTTTCTTCGCGTTTTGGGTCTTAGTTTTGTGATTGGTCTTGTTTGGCAACGCTTAGATTCTTATCTTCGTGGACGCTTTTGATGGATATGTCCCGGTTTATTGTATTTCTCACCATGGCGTTTCAGATGGGCTTAGGATAGGGTGAGTAACCCTTTGTTACTCACCCGTGAGTAACCACATTAGGACCGTAGATCTGGTCCGGGCTGATCGGGTGGCTGTGGTTGAAGCGGGATGGTCAGGGGCATTTTTGTCCGTTATTTGAATTAATGAGTTTCCCCTTTTGTCCGTTGCGAATCTTTCTGTGCGCGAGTTGGATTCGGATTTTGGAGAGAGAAACTACGAGCAGGGGAGCAGCAGCTGAGAAACAAGGACGACGATTCTCCATGATTGATCGACGGCGATAGAAACTGCGAGCAGCAGCTTCGAATCGAGCTTTCTGATTCTCCATAATTGATCGACGTGTGCGCGAGTTGGATTCAGTTTTTGTAGAGAGAAACTGCGAGCAGCCGCTGAGAAACAGGGGACGGCGAATCTTTTCTGATTCTCCATAATTGATCGACGACGAGGTTAGATATTAGTTTTTTTGATTCTTCCTGTTTAGCTAATCGAGTTTTCTGTTGATCTCTGGTTTCGTTGGAGGTTTTTCATTGCTGCTAGTCGAGCTTGTTTATGTTTAGCTAATCGAGCTTGTTCATGTGTTATGTTCTTTGTGTTTTGGTGTTTTGGCAGTATTCCGGTGAGATGAGTTATGTAAATTGTGGCGATGTTGTTCCAATTGATAGATCTGGTTATTCAACCAGCGTTGTAGGATCTGGTTCTTCATCTAGTGCTGTTGGAACTGCTTCTTCATCTATCGATCTTGGATTTGATCATTCAGCTAACTCTGGTGAATCAGGAGGTAAGATATACAAATTTGTTTATTTATTGAAGTTTGAATGTGTTAGATACCATATGGTACCATGGTGGTAATTACTGGTATACGATGAGAGGTGATACTATAGTGTTGTGTTGTGATGTTATTGTTCTCTGTATTTAAGTTTTAGCATAACATAGCATGGTGGTAATTACTTGTACCATGTTTGGAATCATTGGTATAGTGTCGTAATTTGATTTTACCATGCCTTATCATGTGGTAATTGATTTTACAGTACATTACCATGTGGTAAAATGTGGTAATTAGGAAGTTAAATGTGAGGGATCTGTGTGATAAATGATTTTACCATGCCATACCATATGGTATAGTGTGGTAAATTGATTTTACCATGCCATACCATGTGGTATAGTGTGGTAGTTTGATTTTACCATGCCATACCATATGGTATAGTGTGGTAATTTGATTTTACCTTGCCATACCATGTGGTATAGTGTGGTAGTTTGATTTTACCATGCCATACCATATGGTATAGTGTGGTAATTTGATTTTACCATGCCATACCATATGGTATAGTGTGGTAATTTGATTTTACCATGCCATACCATGGTGGTAACTCTTGTATCATGGCTGTAATTATTGGTATACATTGAGATTTCATACTGTTGTGGTGTGGAATCCATTTTACCATATCATACCATGGTGGTATTACATTTGTACATATTTAATATGTTGCTTCATAATGTTTGTAGGTTTCAGTGGTATAGATCCTACTGTTCGTGATTCTTGGAAGGACTTAGAGTTCAATACACCAGATGATGCATATAATTTTTATGTTGATTATGGGAATCATGAAGGTTTTGGTGTGAGGATTTATAACCAATCAGCGTGTCCGAAGCTCAATGGTGGTTCTTCAGCTGTATATTATATCAAGTATTGTTGCAATAAGGAAGGTTGGAAAAGAGGTAGCGAGAATAACCCTGATAATGCAGGTGTTGTTGATACGACGGTTCGTGTTCGTAATGTTCCAGAACTCAGGGGTGGATGTAATGGTGCTTATATACGACTGAGGTGGTTTAAAGAGTTTAAATGCTACAAGATCTATCGTTGGTATAATGTGCACAACCATGACATGATTCCTGAGTCTCTGCGTCACTAGGTGAATGATGCTGCTGGTATTGGTGTGACTTCTTCGTATAATGCAATTAGTAGGGCTGGTGGTGGTCGGAAGTTTGTTGGGTTCACAAAGAATGATTTGAAGAACCATCTGCGAACGGTTAGGACGTTATCAATGGAGTATGGTGATGCGACTGCATTGCTTGAATACTTTAGACGTCAAGCACAGCTGGATCCTGGGTTCTTTCATGAGGTGGAGGTTGATGTTGAAGAGAACATTGCTAGTATTTTTTGGGCAGATGGGAAGATGAGGATGGATTATCATTATTTTGGTGATTCAATTAGTTTTGATACTACTTACCGGACTAACAAAGAGTATCGGCCACTAGGTATGTTTTCTAGTTTGTTGTTTATTATTGTCTTTGTTAGTTTGTATGATTATTATTATTATCATTCTGTATCATGTTTTTTTGTTCTTACAAGTCTGTACCATATGGTATGGGTTGGTATGGATTGCTTTTTTGTTCTTAAAAGTATTTTACCATATGGTATGTGTTGGTAACAAGGTTATTTGAGGTGGTTTTTGGGTTGTTAGAAGTTTGTACTATATGGTATGGGCTGGTATGCATTGTGCTTTTGTTCTTAAAAGTCTTTTACCATATGGTATGGGTTGGTAACAAGGTTATTTGTGGTGGTTTTTGCGTTGTTAGAAGTGTGTACTATATGGTAGTCTGGTATGGATTGTTTTTTTTGTTCTTAGAAGTCTTTACCACATGGTATGAGTCTTTACCATATGGTATGGGTTGGTATTATTGTTATTTGTACCTTTTACCACATGGTATGTGTTGGTAGAATTGTTTTTACTCACATTTTGTTATGTTTTTGTAGCTTTGTTTGTTGGTTTCAACAATCATCACCAACTGACTGTCTTTGCGGCTGCTCTTTTATATGATGAAACAACGGCAACATTTGAATGGCTTTTCGATCAGTTTTTGAAATGCATGGGAGGTGTGAGACCGTTATCAATGTTTACGGACCATGCTGCTGCAATTGCTGCTGGTATAAGGTCTGTTTTCCCAGATTGTTTTCATGGGTTGTGTACATGGCATATTGCTCAGAATGCAATTGTTAATCTGGGAAGTTTGTGTGACTCTGACTTCCTTCGTGAGCTTAGTTATTTGATGTATAATGCTGATGATGAGGATGATTTTGAGTATAATTGGAAGAAGATGATTGAGAAGTGTTTTCCTGGGAAGGGACCTTTGGGACACAGTTGGTTACAGGGCATTTACAAAGTCAGGACGAAGTGGTCTTCAGCCTGGGTGAATTGTCATTTTGGTGCGGGAATGAAGAGTACCCAGCTAAGTGAGTGCTGTAATAGTAATATTCGACATTACTTGCAGTCAGAGTTTAGCGTTAGTAGGTTCTTTGTGCACTTTGAGAGGATGCTTGATAATAAGAGGGATGCTGAAGAACAAGAAGAGTACTATGCCTTATCTAGGTTGGCTGATTCTCGGTTTTCTACTAGCCCTATTGTGAAGCAAGTTGCTAATGTGTATACGCCGAAGATATTCAAGTTTTTCCTGGATCAGTACAAGGAATCTCTTGCGTATAATATTTTTTCCAATACGGAGATAGAACCAGAAGGACATGTAGGACTTTTTGATGTCTTCATATTGGAGGATGACCTTACAAGGTTGGATAGTAGGGTGTTGAAGGTTGATTTTGAAAACGGTGAAATCAAGTGTTCCTGCCGTAAGTGGGAGTCAAGTGGTATGATCTGTAAGCATCAAATTAAGGGATATGATATGTTGTGGTCTACAACATGCAATCTGAAGTTCCAGCACATTCCCAGCAGTTTGATTTTGAAGCGGTGGACAAGGGCAGCGAAAACTGGAGGGAACTTTTCTTTTGAAGTTCCGTCTACTGATAGTCCATCGAAATACCGTTCTCGTCTTTTCAATCTGTCAGCTGTTTCTGCATCAATGATCAGCAGGATTGCATTGGATGATGATTTGTATAAATCAGCCATGGCCTTCATGACTGATTTGATCAAAAAGTGTGAAGCCCTATCGATTACTGAACCTGCTGGAACAAGCACGTCTTCTAACGGTGACAGTAAGTTTTTAATTGTTTAGAGTTTTGTGTTTTGATATATGCAATTTTTTGAGGAGAATGATTTTATATATATCTGTCATTGATTGTAGTTTGTTTTTGTTATCTTGGTATAGATGATGTACCGGTCCAAAAAGTGAAGGGGTTTAAGCCTAAAAAAGATTCATTCAAGCCTTCGAAACGACCAATTCTAGTTGCGGAGGCTGCAAGGGCTGTAAGTAAGAAGAAGAGAAAAACTAGCAGGCTTGAGGAGGAGAATTTGAAGGCTGTTGAAGAAAGTTTAAGGCTGAAGCTGTAATAGTTTTCTTAGAGGATTATTTGAATGAATGGTTGATGCTGGTTGAGTTGTTGAAGCTATTTTGTTCTTTTGGATTGGTTTTTGGTTTGTTGGATTAATTTTACAATGTCATACCATGTGGTATAATGTGGTAATTTGATTTTATCATGTCAAACCAGGTGGTAAAATGTGCTATTTTGGAAGTTGAATGTGAAGGTTCTGTTTTATAATTGATTTTACCATGCCATACCATGTGGTATAGTGTGGTAGTTTGGAAGTTCTGTGTGGTAATTGAGTTTACATTTGCCATACCATATGGTAAAATATGATTTTTTGGAAGTGGCATGTGTGGTAATTGATTTTACAGTGAATTACCATGTGGTAAAATGTGGTAATTTGGAAGTTAAATGTGAGGGTTCTGTGTGATAATTGATTTTACCATGCCATACCATATGTTATAGTGTGGTAATTTGATTTTACCATGCCATACCATATGGTATAGTGTTGTAATTTATTTTTACCATGCCATACCATGTGGTAAAATATGGTATTTTGGAAGTGGCATGTGTGGTAATTGATTTTACAGTGCATTACCATGTGGTAAAATGTGGTAATTTGATTTTACCATGCCATACCATATGGTATAGTGTGGTAATTGATTTTACCATGCTATACCATATGGTATAGTGTGGTAATTTGATTTTTACCATGCCATAGCATGTGGTAAAATGTGGTAATTTGGAAGTTCTGTGTGGTTAACTGATTTTACATTGCATACCATGTGGTAAAATGTGGTAATTTGGGAATTAAGAACACATGTTAAGTATTAGCTAACATAATAAAAAACAGAACATTTCATTTAGTCATAATACAAACCATAATAAGTTGTTTCATACCATCCTACTAATTAAAATGAAGTGGCTACTGAACATTGTGAGTTTGTTCTCAAAAGCTTACTTATACCCTCCTACTACTTAACACAAACGATAATAGAATTTTCATCTCCTTTCTTTCAAATCTTTCTTCTTGTTCTTCATGTTGCAGTACTTTGTTGCTTCTTTCATGATCCTTTCCCGTTCAAGATTTTCTTCATCAAGAATGATGTCCAACATCAGGCACTCCCTTTCTTCATTTATGAGATCAATCCTCTTCCAGTCTTTGGTCAGGGCACTGTTGTACTTACCTTCCCAGTGTCTCATCCACCTGATGATGTACATCCCACATGATATTTGATCTGGTTGTGTAACCTTCTCGAGGTTGAACCAGTTAAACCTCTCCCACTTTACTGTCTTCTCTGCAAACTGTGTCTTCATGTAGTTGATTGCGTACTGGACAACCCTGTCTGCCATTGGTTTGTAGTATTTTTTAAAGTCTTTGTGACGGAGACTGTCGAGTACTTCAAATCTCTCTGCTTTGATGTTGACACAAATCATGATGTAGTGCTTGTTATCACAGTAAGGGAAGAATCACTGCAAAATAATTTTACCACGGTATACCATATGGTAAGCAGTTGCCATATAAGTGATGAACAGTAAGTTAAGAACCATTGCAAACTAATTTTACCACTGTTGATATGACTTGAATCGGACTATCAGCCGCTACGACTGGCAACGCCCCCGGCCCACGGTGTATGGGCTCAATGTTATTTGGGTTCGGGTTCTGGGCCTGGTCTGTAACCGTTTCTTTTGCTAGATTGGATTAGGTTTAGACCCACATGGAGAAGTACTATAAATACTTCTCATACTCCTCTGTAATCTGTAATCTCCTTGATATAGTGAAATCGGCTCTCTCTCGCCCGTGGACGTAGCTAACACACATCGTGTTCGTGAACCACGTAGATCGTGTGTCTGTGTTCTTTCGATTCTCGCTCTCGTATTCTTGCTTTATCGATTCCGGCAATTTCCCGATCCGTAGCAGCGCGTTTATAACAAGTGGTATCAGAGCCGCGGCTGGAAATCAGGCTAGGGTTTTCGATTCAGAAGAATGACGTCGGTGAACATGAAGATCGAAAAGTTCACGGGGAAGAACAGCTTCGCTATATGGCAGATCAAGATGCAGGCTTTATTAAAACAGCAAGGGCTGTGGGGGCCGCTGTCTGCGAAACAGAAGAAGGCAGCGGTCGATGACGATGAGTGGAATACCCTGGAGGAGAAGGCCCACTCGACCATCATGCTATCGTTGTCTGATGACGTCATCATTGAAGTCGCTGCTGAGAAGACTGCCGCGGGCTTGTGGTTGAAACTAGAGAGTCTGTACATGACTAAGTCTCTAACCAACAACCTGCATCTCAAGCAACGGTTGTTCAGCTTGAGGATGCAAGAAGGTACGCCTTTGAGGGAACATCTCGAACAGCTTAACTCTATTTTGCTGGATCTGCGTAATATAGATGTTCAAGTTGATGACGAGGATGCTGCCCTAATCCTGCTGGTTTCTTTGCCGAGTTCATATGAGAACTTTGTTGATTCTTTTATTGCTGGTAAAGAAGCGTGTCGTTGGAGGATGTCAGGTCTGCTCTTCATACGAGAGAGATCAGACATAAGGCGTCCGGATCTGGTACAGGTGGTGAGGCATCGGGTTTGGCTGTTACAGGTGGAAAGGGAAAGAAGAAATCTGGTAAAGGGAATTCGAGAAAGAATTCCAAGGGTCCCGGTCCACAGCCAGGTGATGCTTGTCACAACTGTAAGGAAGTGGGGCATTGGAAGTACAACTGTCCCAAGAGAAGAGGGAAACAGAAGAAACAAGGTTCAGTTGCCGTGGCAGAAGTGGACAACAGTTCTGAAGACGATCTCGCCTTGGCTGTAGATGAGAAGGCACATCGTGGTGATGTGTGGTTTCTGGATACTGCAGCCTCATACCATATGTCTCCGAACAGGGATTGCTTCACAACCTACGAGCAGATAGATGGTGGTAACGTGGTCATGGCTAATGGAGCTGTCTGCAAGGTTGTTGGAATCGGGTCCATAAAGGTTCGGACACATGATGGTTCGTTCTGTACCGTGAATGATGTCAGACATGTTCCACGAATGACAAAGAACCTGATCTCCTTGAGTCTACTCGACAGCAAGGGTTTCAGCTTCAAAGGAAAAGGTGGAGTTGTGTATGTCTGCAAAGGTTCAAGGAAGGTACTGAAGGGCGTGAAGCGTGGGACCTTGTATGCATTACAAGGGTCTGTGTTGTCTGGTTCTGCTGCAGTTGCTTCGTCTCAGGTTCAACAGGAAGATATGACCACTCTCTGGCACATGAGACTGGGGCATATGAGTGAACGGGGGATGCAAGTTCTATCGAAGAGGGATCTTCTTTGCGGGCACAAGGTGCAGAATTTGGAATTCTGTGAGCATTGTGTGTTTGGGAAGCTACATTGCAGCAAGTTTCCCAAGAAGGGTATCCACCGGACGAAGGGGATACTGGATTACCTCCACTCCGACTGTTGGGGTCCTTCACGAGTTGAATCCATTGGAGGCAGCAGGTATTTTCTGTCTATTATTGATGATTATTCGAGATTTACTTGGATTTTCATGATGAAGCAGAAAAGTGAGGCTTTCACGAGGTTCAAGCAGTGGAAGACATTGGTGGAGAATCAGACCGGGAAGAAGATCAAGAAGTTGCGAACGGACAATGGTCTGGAGTTCTGCAGTTCTGAGTTCAACGAATTCTGCAAGGATGAAGGGATTGCCCGTCATCGGACTGTTAGAGATACACCTCAGCAGAATGGCGTTGCAGAAAGAATGAACCAGACATTGTTGGAGAGAGCACGGTGCATGCTCTCTAATGCTGGACTAGAGAGAAGATTCTGGGCAGAAGCAGTAAACATGGCATGCTTCCTGATCAACCGTGGACCTCACACAGGTATCGAGTGTAAGACTCCTTATGAGGTGTGGTATGGTAAGCCTGCTGATTACTCTTCACTGAAAGTTTTTGGGTGTCCTGTTTATTATCATGTGGATGAGGGTAAGCTGAACCCAAGGGCAAAGAAGGGTGTATTTGTGGGTTACGGAGATGGAGTTAAGGGATTTCGAGTCTGGTCACCTTCTGAGCATCGAGTTATACTTAGTAGAAATGTGATATTTGATGAGAAGTCTATGTTTAACCCCATGTTGAAGGTTACTGTTGTTGAAGGTAGCAGGAATGTTGATAAACAGGTGGAGCTGCAAACTCTCAATGAGAGTGAGTTTGAGCACCAAGGTGGAGAAGATCAACATGATGAGGATGTCTCTGCAGAGCCAGAAATTTCAGAGTCCAAAGCACGAGCTCAACAGTCTATTGCTTCCGGTAGACCGAAGAGAGCGACTGCAGGAGTACCTCCATAGAGGTATGGCTTCGAGGACATGGTGGCGTATTCATTTCAGGTTGCTGAAGAAGTGGATGCAGGAGAGCCACATTCCTATAGAGAAGCAGTTTCGGGTGGTGAAGCTGATCAGTGGCTTGCCGCAATGGGAGATGAGATGGAATCCCATGACAGGAATCAGACTTGGGAGCTAGTCAAACGACCACAGGGAAGGAAGATTGTTACAAACAAGTGGATCTACAAGAAGAAGGAAGGAATCACTTCTAAAGAGGGCATGAAATTTAAAGCTCGGGTGGTTGCACGAGGCTTCTCGCAGAGGGAAGGAGTTGACTACAATGAGATTTTCTCACCAGTGGTCAGACATACTTCGATCAGAGTGCTACTAGCAATAGTGGCACATTATGACTTGGAGCTCGAGCAGCTAGACGTGAAGACAGCTTTCCTACATGGAGAGTTGGAGGAAGAAATTTACATGACTCAGCCAGAAGGGTTCGAGGTTCCGGGAAAAGAAGACTATGTTTGTAAGCTGAAGAAGTCCTTGTATGGACTTAAGCAATCTCCGAGGCAGTGGTACAAGAGATTTGACAGTTACATGCTTGAGCTGGGCTACAACAGAAGTCCATATGATTGTTGTGTATATCACAGCAAGGCAGAGGATGGTTCGATGATATATCTAGTTCTGTATGTGGATGATATGCTCATAGCTGCGAGGTCAAAGTCTGATATCCAGAAGTTAAAGGGGCTTCTCAGTGCTGAGTTTGAGATGAAGGATTTGGGAGCTGCTCAGAAGATCTTGGGTATGGAGATTTACAGGGACAGGTCGAAGAAGAAGTTTTTCTTGTCACAGAAGAGCTACATCCAGAAGATATTGTCGAGGTTTGGCATGTCTTCAGCAAAGCCCTTAAATACTCCTAGTGCTTCAAATGTTCATCTATCCTCAGCTTATGCACCGCAGTCAGAGGCTGAGAAGGAGTACATGTCGAGAGTCCCATATGCTAGTGCAGTAGGTAGCTTGATGTACGCTATGGTATGCACTAGACCTGATCTTGCACATGCTGTTAGTGTTGTCAGCAGGTTTATGATACAACCTGGGAAGGAGCATTGGCAGGCTGTGAAGAGGATCTTCCGGTACCTTAAGGGTACACCTGATGTGGGGATTAGCTTCGGAAGTGATACAGAGTGCTTGGTGTCTGGGTATTCTGACTCGGACTATGCTGGAGATGTTGACACGAGGAGATCGATGACTGGTTATGTATTCACTCTTGGGAGTTCTGTAGTGAGCTGGAAGGCAACTTTGCAGTCGGCGGTGACATTGTCTACTACTGAGGCAGAGTATATGGCGTTGACAGAAGCTGCTAAGGAGGGAATATGGTTGAAGGGACTGGTTGGTGATCTTGGTCTACATCATGATCAGGCAGTGGTGTATTGCGACAGTTTGAGTGCAATATGCTTGGCCAAGGATCAAGTCCACCATGAGAGGACTAAGCACATCGACGTGAGGTATCATTTCTTGAGGACAGAGAAGAGGATTAAGGTGAAGAAGGTTGGCACCGCGGATAATCCTGCTGATATGTTCACGAAGCCGGTTCCACATGGCAAGTTCCAACACTGCTTGGACTTGCTGAATGTCTTGAGTGGGTGACTCCGCCCTACGGGGCATTGATGGCGGGAGAGAGAGAAGGAGCAGAGTACATCAGAGATTTCAGAGGAAGAGGATTCAAGTCAAGGTGGAGATTTGTTGATATGACTTGAATCGGACTATCAGCCGCTACGACTGGTAACCGGGGGTCTCGCTGCCCGGTCAGCGAGTGGGGTCTAGGGGCAACGCCCCGGTGGGGGTGCGGGGGCAACGCCCCCGGCCCACGGTGTATGGGCTCAATGTTATTTGGGTTCGGGTTCTGGGCCTGGTCTGTAACCGTTTCCTTTGCTAGATTGGATTAGGTTTAGACCCACATGGAGAAGTACTATAAATACTTCTCATACTCCTCTGTAATCTGTAATCTCCTTGATATAGTGAAATCGGCTCTCTCTCGCCCGTGGACGTAGCTAACACACATCGTGTTAGTGAACCACGTAGATCGTGTGTCTGTGTTCTTTCGATTCTCGCTCTCGTATTCTTGCTTTATCGATTCCGGCAATTTCCCGATCCGTAGCAGCGCGTTTATAACAACCACTATATACCATATGGTAACCACTGCAAAAATTGTGGTGAGATACTTACAAGGTTACATTCTGTGAAGCTGTGGTTTTTTGCCCATTCTTTGTTGGTGATGTCCAAGTCCACTTTGTTGTAGTAATCGTCTGGAGATAGTACAGGATTGCCACTATCAATGTCCAGTTGGCAGTCACCCTGAAAGTTGTGGTTGTTATTATGTGTTTTATATATGTGTTGTCTAAGAACTATTGACAGAATATGGGTGGGTTTACTTACTGCCAAAGATGAATCGAAGAACCACCTTTTGAGTTTTCCTTTTTTTGCTTCATTCCTGTTCATTACATCTCCATACCAGTCGATGACATCAGATGTGATTTCACAGTTAATGTCAATCGACTGTACTGACTCCCTTTTCAGCAAGAATGTTCCATCCTTCCTTCTAAACATTATCTCATCACTGTATAAAAGCACATCACAACAGGACGGATGGTTTACTTTAATTTATCACATCAAACAATAGGTTACCACAACAAAACCATAGCTTACCACATTTTACCATATGGTAATAAGTAAAACACAACAGCTTACCACATCTTACCATATGGTAATAAGTAAAATACAATAGGAGTTATGGTTTAATCCATTCTTTAACAACAAACCTTAGCTTACCACATCATACCATATGGTATTAAACTAAAACAAAACAGGACTTGTGCATTACTACATTTTGTAACATTAAACCATAGATTTATCTAATTTTACCATATCTTACCATATTTTACCATATGGTAACAAACTAGATCACTACAGTAACATCATATAACAGTAGAAGTTTTAAGATGATGACTTACCTCTTGACAAATTTCTTGTTTTTGCATCTTATGTACTCCAGGATGTTGCTGAACATATCATCAGGTGTTGTTTGTGTTGGTGTTGACCATTCAACTGGTGATCTTTGTGACTGTGGAGCAACTGGTTCAACAACTGGAGAATTCAGGTCCTCTAGGTAAGCATCTATGCATTCACGGACTTCCTTGAGCTTCTCTTGGCTGTTTGTGTACAGATTTGACCATATAGCATTTGACCATACAGATTTGACTTATATATAAAATATATGAGTAACAAGGTTGAAATGGCCAAGGGAATGGAGACTTACTGTAAGGAAGTGAAGATCTGCACTGACGTAGAGGGTTGGTGATTGCAATCCTTCATTCATGTGGTTGAAGAAGTATTTGCACCAGTTGTAGCTGGTGAAATGTTTCAGTTCATCAGTCTTCAAGTACTCAAGCATGTTGAGTTCAGACATAGGGGCTGAAGTTGGGCACAACAAGCCTCCGGTGACCAGCAGAAAGAACAATTGTAACCATTTCTTACTGTTTGTAACTGTAGGAAGATCTTTTTCTACTTGACTTAGCTTTACCCTTGGAGTGGATGCTCCATCTACTTCCAGTAGGGTTTCTATTGCATAATCTGCTGTGTCGTCCCAAGAAATCGTGGGAGGTACAACTTCCCTTTTCCCCATTGGCAGACCATATACCCTATGAAAGTCGATTGGTGATATCTTCATGCGTGTCCCGTCAGGTAGCTTGAACGATTGTTTCATTGGATTGTATTTGTTCATTACGAACAGTGCAAAATGGTTGTTTATCTTTGTCTCCTTGATTGATATTAAGCCTGCTAGGCCTAATATCTCAAGTTTCTCTTTCTGCTCATCTTTTATAGTCCTTGCAATTGCAGATATTCTTGTTGGGCTGCACCTTGTGCGAAAAGTTTTTCTTTGCTTTACCATAGTGTACCTGAATGTAGAAATTAGGAATAGTCTGTTAGCGTGCTTTTTACCATAATATACCATATGGTACCATAATGGTTTCCTACCATACCAAATCAAACCATATATTTATCACATTTTACCATATGGTAATTACATCAAACCATGTCTTATAACATATTACCATATGGTAACGAAGTAAAACACAACAGGACGTATGTTTTCCTCCATTTTTATAGCATGAAACCATAGCTTACCACACATTACCATATGGTAAAAAACTAAAACACAGCAGGACTTATGGTTTTTTTGCTATTTTACAAGATGAAACCATAGCTTACCACACATTACCATATGGTAATAAACTAAAACACAGCAGGACTTATGGTTTTTTTGCTATTTTACAACATGAAACCATAGCTTACCACACATTACCATATGGTAACAAACTAAAACACAGCAGGACTTATGGTTATTTGCTTTTTTACAACATGAAACCATAGCTTACCACACATTACCATATGGTAATAAACTAAAACACAGCAGGACTTATGGTTTTCTTGCTATTTTACAACATGAAACCATAGCTTACCACACATTACCATATGGTAACAAACTAAAACACAACAGGACTTATGGTTTTTTGCTATTTTACAACATGAAACCATAGCTTACCACACATTACCATATGGTAATAAACTAAAACACAGCAGGACTTATGGTTTTTTTGCTATTTTACAACATGAAACCATAGCTTACCACACATTATCATATGGTAACAAACTAAAACACAGCAGGACTTATGGTTTTTTGCTTTTTTACAACATGAAACCATAGCTTACCACACATTACCATATGGTAACAAACTAAAACACAGCAGGACTTATGGTTTTTTACTTTTTTACAACATGAAACCATAATTTACCACACATTACCATATGGTAACAAACTAAAACACAACAGGACTTATGGTTTTTTGCTATTTTACAACATGCAATCATAATTTACCACACATTACCATATGGTAACAAACTAAAACACAGCAGGACTTATGGTTTTTTGCTATTTTACAACATGCAATCATAACTTACCACACATTACCATATGGTAACGAAGCAAAACACGACAGATTCTACATCAGTTCAGCAACGCATGGTAACAATTCGGTAATTTAGCGAGTTTTACCTTGATATTTTGTGCGAAAACGATTTTTGAGCCTCGTTGAAGTTGGAAACCCTTCGTTTTTCGACGAAGAAGCGAGAACAGTGTATCGTTGAATGATTCTTCGAAAACCTTTGCGAAAATCGTTCGATTTGAAGTTTTTTTCTGGAAGTTTTTGCTGCGATTTTGGTGAGAGAATTGAGGATCGGGAAGAAGAATGGAGAGTTAGAGAGCAGAGGGAAGTGGAACTGTCGCTTGAAAGGTGAGAGAAAGAAGGAGAGAAGGCGGGACGGTTGTCGTTGTCACGTCTGCAATTTAAATTGTCAGAGGGTGATTACTATTTTGCCCCCGCGTGTATTTAATTTGCATGATCTGACGGCTGGGAAGATGGTGCGATGGACGGTGAGATGGGTGGTTACTGACAGTTACTCACCCGTCGGTTACTGAGGAGATCCGGACCCTTTCAGATGTATACTTTGTGATGTTACCTGAATAATAATTTGGAAACTTGTGTTTGGTTGATGGGAAAACTACTATAGGCCTCGAGACGCAAGACAATCTTGAAGCTTTGTTTTACATGAGTTCTCTTTCCTTCATAAATATCTGTTCTTCATGTTCTTGTGTCTCATCAAAAGCTGCTAGTTTTAGGATTTTTCAGCATGGGGGCGTTTGGCTTTGATGTAGAATGATAGAAGGAAGGGAAGCTTAAGGGTTTGATTGTCCACTGGTTCCCTTTATACATTACTTTGGCGCTACTTGAATGCTTATTTGATTTTTCAACAGTTGGAAGGAAGCTTAGGGATAATTTTGATTCCTCATTCTGTGATCATCTGTGTGCAGCTACATGGCAGTGACATTTACAAATCTCTCACAGTGGTTGTGGAGTGGGAAGTCTAGGGAGCCCAGAATCTCTAATGGATCATCTTTAAGGCAGGATCCAGATCTATTGGAATCCGATACATTGAGATTCCCATTGGCCAAGGGGCGAGGTATGGCCTCCTGACGTGGTTCTTGTGCCATCTGATGGTGGTTGTGTTTCTGGTTCAGAGTCTGATGATTCTGATTATTCAATTGGTTGGGTGGAGCCTCATGGACCAGGATTCCAGAGTGATGAAGACACTGATGACAGCTTTGCTGTTCTAGTCCCTTGTTATGGTCATGCTAAGGGTAACCAGTTTCAGGACTCCTTGCAGAGAACAATTGGTGCAGTTGTTAACATCCCTGATGGTTTTTCTCAAGGTATGGCTGCATCTGTCTCTGGCTACTCTTTGTTTTGAAGACTGTTCAACTAGAATAGAAAGAGTGAAAATTTTGTTAGGGCTCGTATAATCGACTTGCATTTGTAGGCTGCACTCTAATTCCTCAAGCATGAACATTCTCAAATGTTCAGGTAGAAATAAGTATATAGAACAATGGCTCTCTTTAATGCGTGATGTCTGACACTAGGTGGCTCTAGAGTTCTGCTTCTGCTGCTGCTATATGCTGAGGAACTGTCCTCTGGTTATCTCGAACGCGAAAGTACATGCCAGACACGTATAATGTGTAAAATACTATGAGAAGATTAAGAATAACTGGAAAAAAAGATATCATCGTGTCTCAGTCTCATCAATCGGCATGGACATATCACAAGATAAGACGCGGAAGGGAGGAGCTACAGCGAATGAAGCAGTCGAAGCAGTTGAACTTTCAGTCCAGTCATTCTAGCCTAATAACAATGGTCGGAAGGGGGGACATTCTGTGACGTTTTTCTTCTGTTGATCTTGACTTAGAGAAAGGGCGCCAATTTGTGTGCTATAAGAAATCTAGAAATAACTGAAGGGGGAGGTGTGCGAGTGTGTGTTTTCTACCCTGTCTATGTCTGCTATTCTTTTGTTGTAAATATGGTGAAAAGTCTGTAAATAGTGAAACCTGGGGCATAATGCTTTCTTCCTCATCATGTATGTAGCTACCATGCAGACTACTGCAAGATTTTATGAGAATAATCTCAGCAGCAAATAAAGTGGCTTTGGCGTGGTGTTCTGATATTGGATGGTCGCCTGAGCTCTTGGAGTCACTTTCAGTCTTCTGGTGGTCCTTTTCCAACATGTTCTCTTTGATTGATAAGAATGCTTCGTTTGCTTGTTATCTTCGGTTTGTGGCTGCAGAATCACTTGCGATATTTGGTGATTTGGCAGGTAGCGGTACCCTTTCTCTTCATATTTGATCAGAACGCTTTGTTTGCTTGCTTATCTTTGGTTTGTGGTCGCCGAATCACTTAAAATATTTTGGATAAATTTGGTGGGTAGCAGTCCCTTTATTCCTATCTCCCATGATTGCTTAGGATGTGACTAGGGATGGCAACAAAACACGAACCCATGGGTACCCTATCTGACCCAACTCGGTCAACGCATGTAAAATCCACGTTGACGGATTTTGGGCCGGTTTGGGTTTAAACCCGTTCACTATTCACCGGATTGGATTGGATTTGGGTTTAGGTAAACTCGCCCCATGGGTACCCGCCCACACCCATATAATTAATTTTCCCGGTATATTTAATATTCTAAACAATTAATTTTCTTTATGTTTGTGGGGACATGTTTAATTTTTTCTTTCTAATTGTTTAGAACGAAGTTGATATTATCGAGTGGAGAGTGAAGAATATTAATTGACAAGGAGGAATAAGTTTTCAATTAATCATGTTGTTTATGGATAATTTGTGATTTGCTTCAATTTTCTTAAGTTTTCTAGATTGGTTTTAAACAATTTGTATGGTTAATTTGTGATTTGTTTGAATTTTCTAGAATAGTGTTTTATATATGGATAATTTGTATTGAGAGATTGATATTTGACTTTTTTTTATAGGAACTAGTTATTGTAAATTTTTTACGACAAAAACCCATGGGTACCCATGAACCCCTGGATACCCAGGCGGTTGGGTTGGGTTTGAGTTTTTCAAACCCCGTGGGTTTTACCCCGGGTTTTTTTTCACGGATAAACCCATGAGTTTGAATTTGGGTTTGGCACCCAACCGAGAGTATTGATGCCCCTCTAAAAATGGGAATACAATAGGGTTAGATTTTGGTCGGTTTTAGTTAGTCGAATAACACTGTCTGGACTGTCTATGACCGACTGACGGACACCAATGGTTAATCGTGGCACTGACGGGTCAGTTATTGATGTAAACCGTGGTTGGCCGACGAGAAAGAAAAAACAGAGTTGGTGTCGGTTTAAATTGGTAACCGACCGATAACCGAACCGAGAGCAGCCCACCAAGCATAATTAACCCAAATCAAAGTCTCAAAACCACATTTGAATCACCCAAATTGAAATCTCAATTCCTTCTTGCGGTCGCGGGAAAGAGGAAGCACGGGGGCGTACGCGACGTACCCCTCAACGACGACGGAGGGGGAGGCATTCTCTACTACTCGATGACGACGTTGACAGAGGTGAACTCGGAGGCAGAGGCGCTAAGGCAAATCGGGGATGGCCAAACATGAGTTGGGCTGAGGCGTGACTCGCCTGCTCTGCTGCTCGACATCGCCGCCTCCGCCGCCAACAGAGGAAGAGTCGGAGGAGATGCGACAGCGAATCGGGGATCAGAGTGGGCAGAGACGAGGCGCGAATTCGGGGAGGCTAGGGTCGAAGCTAGAAGGGATTAGGGTTTCTAGGTTGGCTTGAGAATTGGGGGGATTGGTTTTCTGCCGTTTTGGGGGAAAGGGAGAAGTTTCGGTGGGGCATCGGTTAGCCGTGTAACTGTGGTTAATAGCCTCCGGTTACTCAGTTAACCGGAGCGTCCGGATGCCTTTCCGAACACCACTAGAGGACAAGCGTCCATTGGTTTTAGGTTAACCGGTAACCGATAATTTTTTGTTATAACAGGTGGTTACCCGCTAATCGGACACCAATTGCCAACCCTACTTTTCATATGTCCTTTTATTCTCAAGAAAATGCATAAGCTCTATTTTTTTCTTCTTCGAAGTTCCAATTGAAGGCTTGACATGCATTCCACAAAGCAAAGCAGTGGCTACAAATTAAAGACGGTTACACATTACGGTTGCAAAATGAAAATTGACAGCAAATTAAGAATAGTAATCTAATCCGGAGGAAGATCACTCAGAACAAGCAGACGAGCTACCCTATCTGCTCGAACATTAAGATTCCTTAGAGAAATTCGACCTTAATAGAGGGGTGATGAGCAAGAATTTTAACCATAAGGCCAATCCATGCTCAACAAATCCAAGGTCACACATACGAAGGGAGAGAAAGCGACTTGACCAAAGAGTGGCATTTTATTTTATGAGTCAAAGGATATCCATTTTTTTAGCAAGATTTAAACATTCCTACAACGCTTTTCTTCCGCTTCAATCAACGATACACAAAGCAAGGTATTAACTCTCCTCTCACAAATCTGTCCATGGCAATAAGTCATCGTCTAAGCCATAAGTCATCCATCTGAGCCTCTTATAAGCGACCCATCACAATAAATTTTTATAATGAGATTACTTAGTGGTGGACTTGTTCGATTCGTGGTTCCCCTGAACTAACTAGGAACCATAGGAGGATGGCGAATGACATTTGGGCGGGTCATCGAGTGAAAAAGTTCATGAGAAGCATTCCTGCTTTTCCGCACATTCCACAATTGGAAGATGAAGAAATGAATTGAGCAAGTGGGGGGAGATATTAATGTTTTTCAACGATGGCATGAAGTGATGGAAGGGAACGAATAATTCAAGGCTTCATGAGCATGTTTTCCGGAAAACAAGCAATGATGGAGAGTTACATTTGGATCATTGCAAAGAGGGAATGCATGGAAGAGGGAAAATCTAGGGTTGTAGTTTTTTCTTTTAGTTTCTATAGCATTCTTGACGACTGACGCATCTTCAGATGAAGAACTTTAGTTTTGGTGGTAATGAATGACTAGATTGTACCCCGATCCATTGGTCGGTTGCAATATGATAACAACAATTAACAAAGTTTCAAAGTTTAAAGTTCAGCAATATCCTCTTCTCTTATATTCTTGCTAGGATTATATGTCAATGTCGTGCAAATTAAAAAAAAAATAGTATCAATTTTACAAAATAACTAGCAAGGTTATTTCCTAGTTTTTACCATTGAGAGAGTCAAAATATTAAATTCAAATTGACATTTACCTTCCTCGCATAATTCCACTCCAATTCATTAAATTCTTGTAATGTAATAGTAGGGATATTGGGTAGTCTTTTCTCAAGCAACCAAAGGAGGTTGATCTTATTTTTTATCAAAAATAAAATAAAATAAACCAATTTCAGATGTATATTTTAATTTCAACATAATAAGAACGATTTTCTAATATCGTAAGAATGTTACCTTAAGTGAAATTCAATCACTTTAGGAATTTCAAGATTAGGCCATAGCATCAAGGTAGCTTCAATTTAAGCGAATAAATTTTCACCCTCAAAGTTGGCCAATCACCCATTCATGGACATTAACATCTCAAGTAATAAACTAATAAAGTAAGAAATGTTTACGAACCCTGATACTGAGAGACAGAGGAATGAAATGGCCTAAATAAACATAACATTAATAGCTTTAGCAAGAATTTTATTGAATTGAGTTATGGTTTTGGTTCACAAAGTTATCTTCACAACACATTTTATGTACCCGAATAAGCTAGTATTGTCACGTGTTTTAATAAATTTTTTTGAATTTGCAAGCCTATGTGAGACGAAAGCAATGATATTATTAATTGTCTAATTGATAGAAATTAAATTTTGAGTGATTTTTCTTAGATCATGCTAAACATATTGTTTACCTCAAAGGATATACCTAGTGATAATGTGGGGATGAGAACATCCATTATATTTTGAGTTTGAACCTTGGAACCAACAACAACCAACCAAAAAGAAGTGACCATATTTGTGAATTGTTAAATCGATAATAATTTTGAACTTTGTTTTTATGATATAATTGCATTTTCGTTGATGGATGCCAAAATAGTTAGTAAAAATTTGTTAATTTCTTTAGTATCTATATAATACTTGTATGCGTGTTAAAATGCACACAGTTGAAATATTTAATCATATATTTTATATTTTATATTTATTTGTAATTATAAAATTTTAGTGGACTGCGGGGTGGGGAATCGAAAATCAAGTGAACTGCCCGCAGTAGCTCATGGCCGAATACCCTTTAAAAAAAAGGCTCATGGCCGAATACTGGGATGTATATAGTCTAGAATATCCTCCCTTTCTTTGCATGGAGGCGAGGAAAAAGTTAACTGAATAGGTTTCCAACGAGAAACTATTTATATATATGGGAGGACTATATAATCATGATCATTTTTCTCTTCCAGTGAGTGAAATGGAATCCCCAAAATTCTAGATTGTCATGACTCTTCCATGGATAGAATGATAGGTTGAGCTAACTGAAAAATGGTTGTTGTTAAGGGTGTTCAATTTTGTCTGGAGCGGACCACATCAGACCTAACCGATATTTGGATTGGACACAACGGAAATAATGTAGTCTAATTCTTGGTCTCATTAATTTTATAAATATTGGAAAAAAAAATTATAAGATTTATTTTACTATTGAATCGTGGTTCTCATAATTTTGTCTTGTCTAGACCGGACTGTTACACATCCCCTACTTGTTGTGGTTGGTTTTCCTGCATAGAAGTCAACAACAGTGGGTGTCCATTTGAACGCCTCTCTTTCATGCATGGATTTGTAACTTGCCAATCTCTGGTC